CAAGTCACACTCTCTCAGCCTCAGAGGGTGGCAATGGCAAACCTCCTCCGAACAAAGAAACCCCCATTATAGGTTCAGCTTAGGGTCACCATAAGTCGGAAATGACTTGAAGTCACAGAACGCATGCACACGGCATCCATCCATCAAAGTCTTTTATTTGTTGTTGTGTGTCCTCAAGTCATTTCTGATTTATGGCGACCCTAAGGAGATCTTGTCATGAGGTTTCCTTGGCAAAATTTGTTCACAGATGGGTTTGCCTTTGCCTCCATCTGAGGCCAAGAGAGTATGACTTGCCTACGATGACCCAGTGGGATTCCATGGCCCAATGGGGATTCGAACCCTGGTCTCCAAAGTTGTAGTCCAACATACATACCACTACACCAGGCTGGCTTTTTGGCACTGGTTGTTCAGAGGTATACTGTTTCTGAGCATCCATCCATCCTTATACCATGCCTCGTCCTCAAAATGAAACTCAAGGTGGCTGACAAAAGGGAGAAAAGTACAGTTAGAATAGATATGGTTAAAAACATAGAAAGAGTAAATAAGGATTAGATCAACAATGGAATTAAAATAATTTGACATGTCACTTAAAAATAAAGAATAAAAGCAATGTATGTGTGTTCAAGTCGCTCAATGACTTATGGCGACCCCATGAATTTCCTAGGGATTTTTTAAGGCAAGGAGTACTCAGAGGTGATTTTGCCAGTTTCTTTCTCTGTACAAGAAAAAATCCTTTCTGTTGTAAAATAATGCCTTCCCAGAGAGTTGCTGGAATTAAAAAGTCTTCACTTGCCACCAAAAAGACAGCAAAGGAGGAGCCTTCCTAACTGCCATAGGGAGGAAGTTCCAAAGATTAGGAGCAGCCACCAAGAAGGTCCTCTACTGTGTTCACACCAAACATACCTATGAAGGTTGTGGAATAAAGAGAAGGGCCTCCCCGAAATGTCTTAGCACTTGGGAAAATAGGGTTCTTCAAATAGCCTGGACCCAAGCTATATAGGACTTTATGGATCAAGCCTGGAAACAGACACGCAGCCAGTCGCAAGAAGGGAGTTGTGGCTGCTCCCTATAACCAGCCCCGGGTCAACAGTCTGGTTGCAGTACTTGGATCTGTTGATGTCCAAATGTGGGGGCCTGATCAGAGTTAGCAAATGTGATTTTGTGAATGATACCTCCTAGAATTCCTGAGCCACTAGAATTTTGGGAGTTGTAGTCCCCCAAAGTAATGTTTCTAAACTCTAGTCCCAAGAGCTGAAAAAAAAAATTACATGTCCAGATTTGGGAAGAACAGGTTTTGGGGTAACAGGTCAGTTTTTTCTGGGAATCTCATCTTCACAATCTGCTTTTGAAAGAAAAGAAAAGCAAAAGAGAAAGAAATTAAGTGCTGCTTCTGAAACAAACATGTCTGTATCACTGCCTCTCTAGTTAGCAGTTATTAATGCTGATAAGGGGATGATCAGATTTAATGGGCAAGAGATTACAGCAATTAGAGGATGGGTTTAGTCAGCAATCCAATCTAGGTCTTTTCCCCCAGGCAAGTAGATTGCATTGGGTGTAATACACAAAAACACTCCAAAGAGAGAAGGAGGGAGGGAAGGAAGGAAGGGCAGAGGGAAAAGGAATGATGCTAGTTGACAAAGAGTCAGTGCTTTAAAAGCATATAGCAGGGACCGGCAACCTACAGCCCCCGGGCCAGTTCCGGCCCAGGTCACCGGACTTACCGGCCCAGGCAGACCTCTGCCGCCATCGCCGCTGCAGTGCGTTTTTGCCTCCGTCCGGCCTCACACGCCGCAGCCGCCATTTTGATTTTCAAAATGGCAGTGACGTGTTTGCGCATGCGCAGGAGCACTACGCATGTGCAAACGAGTCGCGACCACCATTTTGAAAATCAAAATGGTGGCCGCCACTCGCGGCTGGCATTTTGTTCTCCAAAATGGCGGCTGTGACTCGTTAGAGCATGCGCAGTACTCCTGCGCATGTACAAACGCGTCACGGCGGTGGCAGCTGTGGCCGTGTGCGCTGCGGTGGCGGCGGCAGTGCATGCGGGGGTCGCGTGTGGGTGTGTGTGTGCACGCGCCGCCATCCCCCCCCCCCGCCCAGTGAAAAGAAGGACTTTGGGAGACCGGCCCAGGCAGAAAAAAGGTTGCCTACCCCTGCCATATAGCATTTTAAATACTCTGAAAGTCATCCTTGTGCTGTTTAACATATTTTTTTTGTTTCTGAGTTTTATTTATTTATTTATTCATTCATTCATTTGAGTTTTTGAGAACCCGAAGTAGATTCTCAACTATTTTGGTTTTCTTGTTTTATTTTTTGGTAGTTCATGTGCCATTCCTTCTGAAGGTCCCGTGGCTTAAAAGTGGCATCTAGACCTGCTACGGTTCCCATCTTAGTGCAGTGCAGTGCCTCCTATTCCTAACCCTCTCCAGAGGTCCATGAGGATGTTATGGTCAATTGATTTACGCAGAACATAGGGGTGGTCCTCATTTTCTCTTCCTCTCCCTCTCTCCATGGGAATGCACCCATACTTTTAGGACCTGCAAAATAGGAAGCAATTCAACAGATGTTCATGTCATGATTTCTCCATGCCAGGCAATGTTTTGGAAGTGTCCAGAAAATCATTGGTGGCTTTTGCCTTCCATGTCAGTGAATCTGAGCTAGTTGTTGTTAGCTGCCCTTGAGTGATCTCGACTCATGGCAACCTATGTTAGTGTAAACTAAAAGTGCTCTCCAAGGTCCTGAACCTATTTTGTGGGGTAGAATTCAACACTAACCCAAACCCTGATCCTAATATTGGAGCCACTAGCACATGAGCACATGGGCAATGATAAAGATGGCAAGAGTCCCATCTCACTTGGACAGTCCACTTCAAAAGCAGATATTACTGGAAAGAGTAGATTGCACTATGCACATTTACAAAGGCATATTTACAAAGTGAGGATGCTAATATCCAGCTGTTATGTTCTCTCTCTCTCTCAAGTGCTTGCACTTGGGCCTTGTTCTGAGCTGGAACTAGTGGCTATCTCATACCTCTCCAAGATTTTGGTGCTGAAAACTGACACACAACACTGCTACTAACAAGTTTTATTGGTGATAAATGGATGCAGCAGGTGGTCTATAGCAGAAGAAAGCATCACAGCCCTTTTGCTGATGGTCTCCTCTGTGTGTGTGTGTGTGTGTGTGTCTTCAAGTTGGCTGTCAAGTTATGATGGCCCTATGAATTTCATACGTTCTTCTAAAGCAAGGAGTACTCAGAGGTGGTTTTGCCACTTCTTTCCTCTGAAATATAGCCTACGGCACCTACTACTTAACGGTCTACCATCCAAGTACTCACCGGGGCTAACCCTGCTTTGTTTCCAAGATCAGATGAGATCTGGTGCATTTACAGCAAATGGAAGAATCAGGTTCCTAAGCAATGCACTCTATCCACACCACCTCTGGGAAGATCATTCCCAATTTCTGTGGCTGGATGATGGGTTAGTTAGCTGTGTTCTTGTTGTGTGCCTTCAAGTCATTTCTGAGTTATGGCAACCCTAAAGTGAACCTATCATAGGGTTTTCATGGCAAATTTCTTCAGAGGGGGGTTGCCATTGCCATCCTCTGAGGCTGAGAGAGTGTGACTTGCCCAAGGTCACCCAGTGGGTTTCATGGCTGGCTGGGATTTGAACCCTGGTCTCCCAGTGTCCTAATGCAATGCTCAAACCATGATGCCATACACTGGCCATCTAGTTGCCTGTTAGATGGCATTTTTAAAACCATTATTATTTGCATGTTTTTGCTAGTTGTACCATAATCTCAGGAAGAACTTCTAGAAAATGGAGCTTGTTTTCTGCTGCTTCTGAGACTAGAACATGATAATAATAATAATAATAATAATAATAATAATAATAATAATTTTTATTTATAGCCCGCCCCTCTGCTCAGCAATCGGGGCACATTACAGCATTTAAAACCGACAAAGTTAAAACATTCCCTCTACCCACAATCCTACCCTCCCATCCCCCTAAAACAGAATTAAACTTGAAAAGGATTAAAATACATCAATACAATCAAAACAATACCAATAACTGGATCCAGAGGATTCAAGCGACAAGAAAGGAAATTTCCCTAGGCATCAGGAAGAACTTCTTTATTGTAAGAGCTGTTTGACACGGGATTGGACTGCCTTGGAGGCTGGTGGACTTTCCTTCTCCAGTAGTCTTTAAAAACAGAGGTTGGGTGGGCATCTTTCAAGAGTGCTTTAGTTGTGTCTTCCTGCTTGCAAAGAAAACCTCAATAGGATCACCATAAGTCGGAAGTGACTTGAAGGCAAACAACACACGCAACACAAGGCAACCCTATCACAGGGTGTTCTTGGCCAATTTTTCAGAGAAGGTTTGCTATTGCTATCCCCTGAGGCTGAGAGACTATGGACGTTATCA